AGCAAGGAAAAGGAAACTGCCACGTCACTGATGGGTTATACAAAATGTTGCAAACTTGGAAGAAATTTTTTCGCCTTTCACCCTCTGTACCCCACCTCATTTAAAAAAAATATTATCTGCTTATAATGACACCATATATTTCTAGCTTATTTGCTAGTCATTATATTTCATCATGGCTTGTGCCTTTATTAATAATGAAGGATGTTATGTTCTTCATATATATATGTATATATACACACACACACACATTTTCTGTATAAAAATTACAGAAAATGGGTAAAGACAATGAATAAGAAAAAAAGAGGAAGAAAAATTAAAAAATTGTCAACGAGTCATAACCAAGCAGTTATTCATAGTATAGCCAACTGCATAAGGACTATTCAAAAAAAAAAAAAAAAAAAAACCCAACCAGCCATATTCCTATTAACCTTTTTTTTTTCTAGTTCAGTGCCTTTCATCTCCAACATACGAGGGGTAGTCCTCTGCTCACCTCTTCAGTTTTCTAGTTATCTTTACCAGGCTACTGTTATTTGTAGCATAGAGATAATAAGAGAACAAAAATATTTAAATTATGTAAAGACAGTAACATGACAAACTCTTTTGTAAGAGATAYTCTGAAAACTCAGAGAGAGCATTTTCCCTTAATTACATTATTTTCTGCTTTAGAATGATGTTGAGAGAATAATTTTCAAAAATGAGAAGGAAAGCTTCTTCCTCTGACATCCAGTGTTTATTGGATCATGCCCAATGTGAAAAAATGATAGTGAATGAGGCAAATCTGCAGGTTTAACTCAAGAGGGAATATTGTACCTAAAGACACAGGATACAAGCCTGTAACACAGGTTGCAGGCTCAATTCTAAGCTCTGCTGCAAATTTCCTTCTCAGTCCTGGTTTCCATAGCTAATAGCATGACAGTATAACAYTCTTCTCTCATGTTTTACCTGTTTTGTTGAGCTGGACTAGAAATTTTCACGGGCAGAAAGCAGGCCATGCTTAGATGTTTAGGTAGTAGCTAATGGAGAAAAAGAAACCAAAAAAATCTCTGATGGACTCTTTGAGCATTGACAGAAGACGGCCTTTTCCACACTTTTCCCACAGATTTATTTTCAAAGACCTCTGACATAACAAAAAGCAAGGGAATAAATATACACGAGAATGAATAGCTGCGTTATCCTGAGAGCATATTACACTTCTACTTTATAACCAGTATTGCCTCAACAGATAAAGTTCTGGGCAGAGTTTAAATTAATTTTGACCTCCAAAGGTTTATTGTTTTGGAGTCTCATCCCTGGAAGAGGCTTTCTCTCTTCTGCAGTGTTTCCACACAGAACACCAGTGGAAATACCCAAGCTGTGCATTTCTGCTTAAGAAAGCAGCAGAACAATGAAGCAGTGCTACAGGAATCCATAATCTTCACATTTATTCCCAACACAGAAAAATCAGAAATAAGCCAAGCACACAGGCCTTCAGAATTTCCTACAGCYTTCCTGTTTTACCAAACCTTTCGACAAAACATGAGTATTCACAGAACAAAAGTCCCACTTAGAAGTATCCTTTTTTGCATTATGCAGTTATAAGCTGGCTTGCCATGGACTGTTCTATTATTTTTGTAGCTTTAAATTGTAGTTGCAGTTTGTTTTTATGAATACCATGTTTTTCTTTCAAAAATCTGAAAGCCTTGCAACTCAACAAAAACAAACAAAGAAAAAAAATCAACAAAAAAAATAGTTTTTATCTGCCAACCCCACTCTGATCTTTTTGGGCACATCTGAATTTTATACAACATAGCAACTCAAGGCAAGTGAGTTGCCAAAATGGAAGCAATAACCACTAGGTCCTAGTGACTAAGCTTTGGTCTACTCCCAGCGTCTCCCCGTAGCAAAGTAAAATTCATTAGCTTAAAACACTACTAATCTCAACCAACTGCTCTGAGGGTAGATCTTTCTTAATAYAAATGAGGTACAATAACATGTGTGTGCATTTCATAGCAGCTAGTCTCAGATTAACACCACCCAAGCGGGCAAAGCTGCTCTCCCAACCTTGAACGTTTCAGACCTCAGTTAAGCACAGCATCCAGGCTGAAATGCTCTTCCTACAGTGGTGTCACTTTTCAGTTTTGGCTCATATTCTCTCTAAGCAGCGCTGTCGGGCTGGGTTAAATTAAGGGTGGGTTTTTAAGAYGGGATTTTTAAAGTGAGATTTTGAAGTAATATGGGAAAGATTTCCTCCTTTCGCCAAGAGAAAAAGGAATTTCAGAATTTCATAATTCCTTTAAATATACAGCCTTTCTAAAGGAACTGCTATATATTTTTAAAGCAGCAGGTTCATCATGTATTTAGTTTCAGAAATAGAACTTTCAAATTTACTTTTCCTGTCAGTCATGCTTCGTACCATAGTAAAATACGGAATAATTTTTAACAACAACTGCAGCAGCATTCAGAAACTCCAGCTCCCTAGTACACTGTGCCCTACACACAGACCAAAGCAGCTCCCGGCCCAGAAACATAATCCCCTTCAAGTGTTAATGAATATGTATTTATAAATGCATGAAAGATAAATGTGAAACAGAAATTTAGATCTCAGAGCAAAGCTGTGCAATGACAGCACATTGGCTGCCGAGGACTCGTGTTTGTATCTTCCCTTCTCGTGGCTCCTCGGAACACGCTGTTGTAATTACTGCTCCCAYGGCTGAAGCTGCCAGCACAGACGCTCGCTGCAGTACCTAAGAATAAACATCTGAGCATCCCATGTCTCATTTCGCTCTATTGTCTAAGCAGCAGTTGTCAAATTATACTTTAAATAAATTTTAAACAAAACTATAAAACAAAAGGCTCGACAGTAGCTTCTCTTTAATTTCAGAGTAAAAATTAYCATCAGGGATGCACGAGCAGTCAGAACAGCTGTAATTCACTGGAGGAACCCATGCTAGTAATGCCAGTAACGTACTGCTGTATCTACGTGTGATACCGTAGGTTAAGAACAAGCAGATTTACGATTCAAGGGCTATGACATATGTACCTATCCCTGTTCATTTCCTGAGAGCACGCTGCACAGGGACTGTTCTGCTTCTCCACATTCCTTAGGTACGTTTCTAATACTTCCCAAATTCCTCTGTTTGAGAGACCTAAAACAGCCCTACCTCTACATTCTCCACCTTTGTGTTCAACACATACAATCTGATCTATTATTATTGCAAAGCTTTCCATATCAGCCACAGGCTTTCTTCAGGTAATACCCAAGTTCAGCTCACCTTTGATGTGTCACCATTCCCACTGAGGTGAATATCCCARAATGAAGACACGAGGCTTCTTAAAAAGAGCTATTGTTGGCCCTGCAATATGCTGTCCCTATTGGTTGACTGCAATAACCTAGTTCTACACAAGAGCTAATAATCATTTAAAAACAAACTAACAAAAAAAATCACTTCAGTGCCTACAGAAAAACTCGATTCAACAAATCAGCACTTTAAAACACCACACTTGCTTTATCTTGCACTTGTCACTCAGTCTAAAATTGCATCTTCACCCATGATACCCACCCAGATGAGACATCTGACTAWGTAAAATGAAATCCAATTCTAATGTAATACTGCATCATTTACATTCTCRCATTAGACTTCCTTCTTGATCAATCTGCAGGGGTTCAGTCAACAGTTTCCACAAAGAAGATTTTAAAATAAGCTCTGAAGGAGGCACAGTGACCTCCAGGGTGGAGCAAACCAGGACATGGAAATCCGGCCCCAGCTTTGAAATTAAAAATTACTAAGAAAAAGCACTTGTGGGAAAACAAAAGCAAAAACACAGAAAACCCCTAGAAAACTATCCTAAAACAGAGTAAAAGCTTTTATGCTCTCGATATTAATTTAACTTGTTTAATTACCTAGATGTCTATTATAATGTAACCCAATCAGATTTTGCTCCATTCCCTGCAAGGAAGATGTCCTTAGGAAAGAAATGGAAATATAAAGTTATATAAAGTTATTCTTTTACGACTCTTAAGTTGTGAACTTTGCACCTTTGACATGTCACTTCCATTTTGAGAAGATTATGAAAGTCAAATTCCAAACAGAGCAGAATAAATGAACTGACAGAAATGGCCTGCTACCCTGTTGAACCTTCACATATGTGCGCTTATTACATGAAAGTACTTTTCCGATTTTGCTGTATGATTTCATGAAATAGTAGGTAGTTTGGGGCAGTATGATATTAGATTTCCTGGAACAATTGCAATACTGAATCTTGAAAAGAAAGTCATTAATTATGCAATGAGTTAAATAGGATCAATTAAAATTAATTCTGGTAGTTAACTACAGTTGAGCACACAGGTGTAACTGGATTAAACAGGTCATTCAGTCTAACAAGCAGTCTCAYTCCAGTGTTTCTCACAGAAGATGCCTTATCTTCAGCCCTCATCCCAGAAGCATCACAGAGATTGTGTACATATCAAAAAAAAGTCTCATATTTTCCTTCCAACATATGAACATACCACATACATATGAACACACACACACATACACACACATATCATCAAATATATACAAAGGATTAACTTTTTCGTAAGAAAAAGATTTAAGGAAATATTAAATCATTTCAACACTTTAAGAATATGACTCTGCTTTCTCCGACTRTGTTAAAATTTAATTTAAATAACATCCACTGCACTTTATTCCAATGCTATAAATATCCAATGCATTTATACTGTTACATACCTTTCTGTTTTGGCATATCCAGATTGGACAGATGAAATACAAGAATTCTGGACATCCTTTGTTATGAAAATAAACCCAATTGCCCTAATACAATAGTTTTGATCTATGTACTGGCAATACTTTTTCTAAGAGAACTTTATTGCAGGTGGCTTATTTTGGCAAAAATGTTGTGAAGTTTTGRCAGACAGGGGTTTTGTAACAGGCTGAGTTCACATCTGCCCTTTCCTGATTTGACAGACAGTATTTTACCACCTTGGCTCTAGTCACTGACTGAYTTTTGTTCCCAAATACCTGTCATCACCGTCACTGATGCATTCAGGAAGAGCAAGACTACAGCCAAACATCATGATGTGTTGATAGCAGCTGAGACGGTTGAGATAACTGAAGAACTTCAGGAACTTTTCCATTTCAATGCTTTTGACAATGGAAAGAACTGAAGTTAGAGTGGTGTAGTTATATGGCAGCATTTGGCACTGGCTGTTGGTGATATTTATGCAGGCACCTGTGAAATTAAAACAATTCAATTTAGAACAAATGAACCAAATATTTAACGGTGATACTAAGCCTACAAAGAATTTACTTGTTCTTTTATATAATATATAAGCAGTGCTTGTTCCTTACAGATAACACAACACTCCACAATCCTATTACAACACTGTCCAAAAACGAGCATCTAAGAACAGAAGGCACCTGGATAAGCTTGGATATGCAAACAACCTCTTAAAGATTTTCACAGTTCTCTGGCGCTCTCAGTCTACAGAACTAAATTAGTTGCCAAAATGCCTTCTGACACAAGCTGGATGAGCACACCAGAATAGCCTGGATAAGGCCAACTTCAGCTGCAGTCAAGTAGAGAAGAACAGAAAACAAAGACTAATTGGAATTGCGATGTTTTAGGATATTTCCAACAAGTTTCTACCACTATTCTGCTTTGTAGCTGCTCTTCCTGCCAAAACTCAGTAATTTCTCTTTTTCCCAGCATTTTGTAAACTCCCCTCCAAAGTCTTTATTCTCTACCCAACAAATACAGATTTTTTTTTTTTTACTACCTACTTTGTCCTAAAGTGTTAYTGATCCACTCTCTAGCTACCAGAGATGCTTCTCTGCAGTGCAGTTGGCTCCCTCATCTATAAATGATCAATGGTTAGCCTACTACATGAAGTTCCAAGAGTGAGTTTCATAACACACACAAAATTCAGAATTTTCAGCAAGAGCCATCTAGATATATTCTGGTATTACATTCAAAACACGTCTATATTGTATAATACATTGTACAAATTGGACATAGCTGGTATCAAAGAGTGTTGATCCTAGTCCAATATCAGTAAGAACTGGAGATGTAAAGCACACAGGATGCAGCTCTAAGGGCTCGGCAAAGCTCTTCTTGACCATCTCACACAGGCTTCATTCTCCAAATGCACTAGAGGCAAATAGTATCTGCGCAGTCCATGTACATAGATCTACTCCTAGTTTTTACATCCTAGGAGTTAGAAAAGCAAAACATAGCGAAGACAAACACTTCCTTACAATTTTGTCAAGTTGCAATGTGCTTGAAAGGACTGACATAAAAAGGTTTCTGATTTTATCCAGATTTGGTRAAATTCAATCCTTATTTTTCCAGTTTCTGGTAAGTGTACTCAAAGTTATCCTGTTCCTCTTCTCTGTCTCCAGAAATATCAACAAAAATGAGGATTTGGATTTAGCCTCCCTAATAAAGCAGCAAGTCTCTGCCTCACACATCTGCAACTACACAAGACTCGCAACCTCAATACTACAAACAACAAACCTCAGCACCAGYGTACACCCATCGTCTGCTACAGTCTTTTCCCACTCGCACACTGCAGTAAGTGATAGAGCTATTCATCCAGGAACCATATTTTTCATATAATTCAGACTTAAATTCTCAGAGTCACATCTCATGATGATTCACTATTAAAGGTAGATGCTGGGAGGTCAACCAAAGTGGTAACTTTCCAGATTAAGAGAATTTTCAAAGACTTGCAGAGTGCAGTTTTTAAAAGAGTCTATGCCTAGCTTCCTAGAGTGTCAAGTACCACACACCAGTGACTTTCAGTGCAACTCATGCTCTGAAGTTATACATGTGAATATACCATCAGGATCATCGTCCAATCTGCCCATTAAGCTGTCAGATTGAAAGCTGCTGATGCAAAAGTTGCTTCTCCAGATCTAGCAGGGAAAAAAAAA